AATATTTAGAGAAAAACTTTAAAAAAAAAAAAAAAATGATTTATTCGCGGTTTTAGAGTGCGATACGAGATCCGTCATTTTGATTCTTGTAATTTACCATCAATCCTAAACCTAAGACAGCTGATTTCCTATCGCGCTTTAAAGAAACGTAAGCTTATTTGGCGTAGACCAATGTAAATATTGTTAACAAATCACGCGAAATTTTTTTAAGATGGAAGTTGATTCACCGAAGGCCTTATACTTCCCCCTTCCGTATCGCTAATGATAATACTACACCTGACAAAATGATTGAGTAAAAAGCGTCCTTATCGGTCGACCATCGTACATATGTAGGCTCTTTGGCGACTTGCGCTTTTGTTAAATTGTTACCGAAATTCACGATTGATTCTCCATAGGCTACCTAAAGGACAAAATATTTTCATATTAAGAAAGACTCAACGAGTAGGCTTCGGAAAAAATGCAACCTCAGGCTTTAGATTCCGTAAAATTATCCTTAAAAGTCTCAGCTTAAGGGATATCATGCGTGTGTCGTGGGATGTCACTTCCAGATGGTTCAAAAGTTATTAATAGGAGGAAGAATATGCAGATCACTTTTGTATTCTGCTTCATTTTCAATATAAACATATTTTAAAAATGATTTTTATTCACGATACACTCGTATGAACATTTCATGAGGTCTTCTGACAGAAATCGCACATTGTCTTTCCATTTTTTTTTTTCTGCGGGGAATTGAATGTTTGCATTTTTTTATTTTTCGTGTCAATCCTTTTAAACAGTCAAAGCTAGTAAAATAGTCACTCCTTACTTTATTCAACTAAAAGTAAACATATTTATTTTTTCAAGACTTCAATCTTTGCCGCGGGGCTAAAAACATGATAAAATAGAAAAAAAAACTTCCTGCTTTAAAGGCTAGTAGTTAGGCTAGGAAAACAATACTTTCTTCAGAGAATTTAATTATATTTTTCATAATTTTGTTTCATGAAAATGACACAAATATGTTTCAAAGATTAAACAGACACACTCACATAAAACCAGTCTCAAAATATCGGAGGAATTTCAGTACATTTGCAATGATTAATAATTATTTATATTCTCACCTCTACTACATGAGATGCTGGGAGGGTGATGACGTCTGGAATGATTTTTGATTTTACCAAAATGTCTTTTATTTCTGCAGCGGTTTTCTTCGGATGACCTTCAACAGCTCCCAAGGATGCCTCAGGTCCAGTGGCTATGACATATTTTTGACTTGATATCAAAAATAAAGTTTGAACTATCACTCTGGAAAGGTTTGACGAGTCTTTCCTGAGTTTCATTTTATAAAGTATATGTGTTTCCTCCTGAAATTCTGAAAAAAGAAAATTTAAAATTAAAATTCTAAATCAATGAAGATGTTTATTAAATTATGTATCTGAATGTAGTTTGGTACTAACTTAACCCTCAAAAGGATAATTTTTTAATACCTTATTTTTTTAGTTTCATTTCGGGAAACCGAGAGACGAAGACATGGTAAAAAAGGTCCCGAAAATGTTTTACGTGGATTATAGACGGAAATATCCTACAGTCATCTTAAAACATCTTCCGGATATTAGCGATACCTAACAGGTTGCATTCCAAAATGCAGCCTGCAGTTCAAACTTAAAACAATATGGAAAGTTAACGTAAATTATTGCCGTGTCTTCTCAAGCAGATATTTTATCTTAAATTTAGACTTACTCACTCTATCTTAAATGTTTGGGGTGCCATCGATGTTGGGTATTGCATATTCAGATACAAGAGGACATTGAAATTATTTAACAACCATTGGATTGCCTTTAAAAGTAAAATGTGCATTAAAAATAAGTTGAGTAATTTGTTCCTGCGGTAAAATTTCGAGGATGAAACATGTTGCATGCCGCTTCAATCCTTACCTTGCATGCCCAGCGGCTCATTGCTGTCCTAAAATATCAAGGCTTCCTTAACAAACGCAATTCTTATGGCTTAAGAAGACCTTAATGTTTAAAGTGCGACTATGAATACGACCCTAAGCCTTGAAGTTGAATGGATAGACGGGTTTACCGATGCAGTTTAACCTGTTAAAGCGAGGACAAATTTTTTTTCTATTTTCAACAGTGTTCAACAGCGCTCTCCTAATCGAAACAAAAATTTAGATTTCACCCTTCATGGAAATTCTTAAAATCGACCGATTTGATCAGGGCACGCGTGGTAATAACTAACCCATTAATTTCATTTAACTAACAGAGACTGTTAAGTCGAATATATTTTATCTGAAGCAATACATCGATCATGATTTTTACCATTCGATTATCATCACGTAAAGTGTTTTTACTCATGTTTCAAGTAAAAAATTTAACCAATTTCAAATAAAGAAATGTGTGACATTGCAGAACGGAGCGCTTTTTGGGATATGTTGGGTTATGGCGCGAACTACTATTACAAATTCTCAATTAATGAAAAATATTCTGTTGAGATACCATCAGTCTATATTTCTTTGCTACAATCGTTATTTCCAGAGAAAGTACTCGAGCGGTGAAGTAATTTCTTATTTGTAGCCAGCCACCATTACTATAAGCTCTCTTACCTCCTCTTCCATTTTTTTTTCACAGTAGCTCTACCGTCCTAGTGGGTCAATTTTCATCATTTTTACGACAATTGGTAGCATACAGTCCCCGGATAAGCCCCATTTATCTACATTTTGAAAATATGACCTCCTAAAGATCTACAGGGCTGATTTTCGTGAGTTTTGCAGTGATTGATACAATTAGTGTCCCTAGATGAGTCCGTCTCTTTAGATTGACTGTCAGGAACCTGCAATCCAGGCCACAAGGAGCGCGAAGCGCGATCTCCGAGGGTTGGGCTGGTAGCGGCCAGGGGGCACAGGCACACCCACTAGTTTAAACAGCCTCCTGTAATCAGACCAGTAAGCAAAGGGAATGAGAAGTTAAAGTAATCATACGTGGCAATCCTCTTCATCCCTTTGTTTTTCTCACTAAGCCTGTTCTGGTCCGGGATCGGTATCTCCTTGATTTTGAATTGACATTCACATGCCTGCCTGCCAGCCGTTGGAGATGGGCCGACAATACTAACACTTGCCCTCACTTTCTTCCCTTTTTGCTGTAGTGCGTAAGGTCAAGGACCCATGACTTTTGTGCCTCTATCTGCCGAAAAACGCCGCATGAGCCTTCGAACATTGCCAAATTGCCTTTGTTAAGAAATCTATAATCTTCCATTTCGGAACGTCCCTGACTACCTGACGATTTTTACACGGTGTTGCAACACCGAAGCACCCTTGATCGTTGGTTGAGGAACCTCGAGTTAATACCACTTCTATTGTTCTTCGTGATGAACCGTGAGGACTTTCGCCGCAGACCCTTTTCTCTTCTTTCAGCAATGATACAAAAAATTTTAATTGCTCAAAATATTGCCAATTTTACCTCAGAATGAATTTCAGAGTTAAATTCTAAGGAAAACTGTATAAAAAAATACACCATTTGAATAATTTGATTGAATTTTGACCTCTATCCCGACTAAGTCTGAGAGTTTCCGACAAACATAAAATTCGTTGTAACCCTCGATTTTTACATTTCAAAAATATTTTCTAAAAAGCCATCGTTAAAAGTATCGTGCTCTATGGTAGTGAAGTGTGGCCTTTGACGAAAAGAACGCAAGAAATGTTGAGGGCAACTGAAATGGATTTTTGGCGGCGATCTGCCGGCATTTCGAGACGGGACCGTGTCCGTAATGAGAGAATTCGCCAGGTGATGAAGGTTGAGAAAGATATCGTGCACGACGTCATGTCCAGGCAGTTATGCTGGTATGGACATGTGCAAAGAATGTCGGAGGAGAGGTTGCCCAAACAAGTTTTGGATTGGGCACCACCTGGGAAGAGGCGACGGGGACGTCCCGTAAAGGGTTGGCGGCAGGGCGTTGACGAAGAGATGTTGCGGTGTCAGTTGCCCGATAACCTCTGGGAAGACAGGCATATGTGGCGTTTGGGTGTCGTAGAACGCCAGAGTGCGTTATAAAGCGACTTTATATAAATATATATAAAAATATTTTCTTTCAGAATTTCACCCTGAACCTGATTTTGAGGTGAAAGGCGCAATTTTGTGATTACCTTGAAATTTTAGTATGAAATAAAGGGGAAATGGGTCACGGTACAGAGGTCACGAGGATTTTGATTCTCTTGACGGAAAAAGAGCCGAGCCCTCTAGCCTGGGCCTTCAACTGCATTGTTCGTCCTTCGCTGTTGCCATTTGCAGGATTAACTCGTAATGATGACTCACTTTCCAGGGACGATCCGAAATGGAACGGAGTATATTTCATCTTCACTTACGAATATTTTCCTTCCAATTATTTAAGATAATTTCACAGTAATTGAAAATTTTAAAGGAGAATTTGTATGACTTCCTTTAAATATAAATATTTTACCGGAGAAGTTTAAAAAAATTCGAGTGTCCACATTCTTCCTCAGCATTGCAGCATTGGTTATGGTCTCCACAGTGACTCGACGCCACGTCTCTTTATCTTTATCCCCGCACAATTTAGTTTCTACCATTTGGTACTCATTTTGTGGCTTCATTGATTTTTTAAATCATTTTTAATAAGTTTTTAAAAACTCTTAAAATTTTATCGTACAATATGATTTTATACAATCTCAAGAAATTTTTCACCCCCAATCGTAACAGAATTACATCGACAGTTCATTCTTTTACG